CCCGCCCGCCCTACCCCCCATCTTGGCCCCCGCGCACCTCCCCTCGCTCCGCCGTCAGCCGCCGCTGCCGCTCCGGGCTGAGCCCGTCCCACCACTCCCGGAACGGCCCCGCCTCGCCCCGCAGCCACGCCAGCCGCGCGCGCCGCTCGTCGCAGAAGCGGCGGCAGATGGACTCCACGTTGGTCAAGTACACGCGCACCAGCTCCCGCCGGTACTGAGCGTCCAGGCAGCGGAACGGGCGGCCGGGCTTGTCCAGGATCACCTGCACCTGTTGGGGCAAAATCGGGGACGGGGAAGAGGGGTTTGGGCAGGGTGGTGTAGAGCGAAAAGGGGGGGTTGGCAGGCGCTGGTTAGGCGGCAGCCAGGGGAGGTGAGGCGGACATTCGCCGCGCGGGGGAGCGGGGCATTGCCCGGCAGGGGAGGGGCGTGAGGGCTCCAGTGCCGCGCACACTCAGCAAAGGTTGATAATCATCAAGTTTCAGGCGTCCAGAATGGTTGCGCTAAGGATGCGCGCGCCGGCGACAGAGGGGTGAGTGTAATCTGCCCCACACCTGCGCCTTGATGACGAGGGTGTCCGACAGTGTGAAGCCGTCCAGCACCTTGGACAGCTCCATGAACTTCTTCCACCCCCAGTCATGCTCCTTCTTGCAGAACCGGTGCAGCGTGTCTGCGGGCGCGCGAGACGCGGCGTCGCGGCGCATGGGGCGCGGAACAGCCGTCTCACATTGCGGCTCCAATTGCTGTGGCGCGCGGCCGCTTATGGAGAGGCTGCAAAGAGCTCTTCAGCTAGCTTGTGACCAGGCCCCCCCCCCCCAACCCACCAGAGTACTTTGACTTCTTTGGGTCCTTGTTGACCACTGCAATGGTGAACTGCGCAAAGTGACTCCAGCCTGGAAACGCAACGGCAGCGGGGCACGCCGAATTTGAGCACTTGGCTGTGAGGGTGCTCGCTACCAATGAAGGGCCGCCCGCCAGCCGACTCATGAACCGCTTCACCTCTGCACAAGCCGGGAGCCCGCCTCACTCGATTTGCGTTGCCATGAACCGCTGCTGCAGCTGCACCATGCGACTGCTCAGCTGCAGCCGCAACCTGATGCGCTGGCGGCTGCGCCTGGTGACGCAGCTGCTGCCGCTCCCGCCCGGCACCGCAACAGCGCAACTGTATGCCCCCAGCGCCGGCCGCCCAGGCGCACCCGGCAGCAGCTTGTCGTAGTCCGCCACGCACAGGAACAGCGACAGGTGGTTGCAGACGTCGCAGCCCTGCGGGTACACTAGGATGTACCTGGCAGCGCACACGTGGCGAAGCGAGGGGGCAGTGGGTCAAAAAGCCAACCACGTCGCGCACCGACAACAACAGCCGCGTGGTTAAATGGCCGCAGCCGGCCTGGGCTGGCTGCCGATGTCGCATGGCTGCTTCAAAGCACACTGCAGCCGCTCCGCGCCAGCCGCATGTCCTTGAGCGACGACATTTGTAGTGGCTGGCTGGGCGGCCGCTCAACCTGGGTGCGCGCATGCGCCAAAAGCCGTCTCGGACGCTGCGACGCCGTGAGCCCTGTGACGGTCCCGACACACACGGGGCCCGTCCTTTTGAAGCGCAGGGCCTCACCACTTGTAGTCTCCCACTTCAAACTGCGCGCTCCTCAGCTCCCGCTTGCTGATCTCAGAGAAGCGCTCGATCTTCCAGGTGAACTTGCCGAACAGCTCGTTAGGCTTGCGTCCTACAAGTTTGCCAAGTTCGTGTGAGCGTACTAAGACGCATGGCTTGTGAGCCTGGCCTGGGACGCGGGCTGCACTCACCGTCGTCGTCCTCCTCAAGGTATGTGGAGGTCGTGGGCACGCAGTCAAGACATGTCGACTTGCTCCGCCACTCTCCAGGCGCGTCCGGGGTCGCCGTAAGCACGCCATCCGGTTCTTTGCTGCCAGTGCTGCTGCTGGTGCTCTGCAGCAGGGCACCTCTCAACGCGTCCCTAGCCGTACCCATGGTCGCTTTTCCATATAAATTTGGAGCTCAGGTGAAGGCACTAGGCAAGTTTCAACCCGATCAAACAAAACGTGCGAGCCAGATCTTGAGCGTCGGTGGCACGGTTTATAGCATGGAAAGCGGCCTCTGTTCCGCACACGCAGTCTCTGAAACTATCGAGGATCAGTGGTCACGGTGCATCAGTAGCCAACTGCATACCTTGTCTTTCGTCCATCCAAGGTCGTAACCCCGGACAGCACCCACTCTCAAATGTTGCTCTCGGTGAGAAGTGCCCCGCTTGTCATAGGGCCTAAACTTACACCTTACTGAACTTTGTTCAATAGAATAGAAGTATACCTCAACTACCTTGGAGTTGTAGTCGGCCGTCACCGTCTCACCGGGGATGAAAGGAACAGGTGTGCGGCAAGCAGCGGAGTGCACAAAGCTGGCTGTTCAAGCTGGCTGCATTGTATTGCATTCAATTAAGCCGCTTTGGAGAGCTTTTGCTGTCGTCCCAGCTGCCAGCTCGAGCTGCTTTCTGTTCACGCAAGGTTGGAAACGCTGTTGGTTACACGCGGTTTAAGCTGTTAAGGGGTTGAAAGCTTGTGAGCAGCCAACCCGTCAGGCGGACTGGACAAACTGCACACCCTTCTCAATGGAGGCGATGAGCTCGGGCTTGAGGGCGTCCAGGCCGTCCTGCGGGGTGGCATTGGGACACTCGTTGGTGGGTGGGAATGCTTGCACCACGCCTCTCATGTGCGTCTCATGCGTGTGTGCCTTGTGAACATGTGGCTCACGCATGCAGGTATTACGAATTTTTCGTGGGCGTGCGTGCTCAATGTTTGTGTGTGGCATGTGTGTGGGCGCGCGAGTACACATTCATGTGCTGACGTGGGCGGCCCAGCGCATTAAACATTGTGCTCCTTTAAGCGGCTCAAGCAAGCATGTGCACGCCTTGCCACAGCGCATCAGTACCCAACAGTGTCCCTCTCACCTTCTCGTACTTGCTCAGGCTGCCCACAGGGTGGATGGTCTCAACGCCTGCGCGGCGAGTCGCACATGTACAGCAACCACGGGGATGTCGGCGTGCTCTCCCAAGCTCACACGCACTCCTGCATGCACGCATGCTCACACCTGCCACACACACACACACACACACATGTAGGGTGACGCCCCCCACGTCATCTGAGGTGCCCATAAGGTACACCACTCCCCAGTGTTGGCCAGCACACGCAGGTGCCGAGGCCACGCGCCCCGCGCGTCGCACCCTCCCCACGCACCCTCAGTGGAGAGCTTGACCCGGGACGCGAAGAACGGCACGTCGGGCTCCACGCTGCTCTCGACATAGGCGCACTCGGTGGCCACCTGGCCGTTGAGGCCGCGGAGGCACGCGTCCGCGAAGAGGGCCGCCGCATATGCCATCGACAGGGTGGCAGAGCCCTGCAAGACGGGATGGCGCGGGCAGAGGGTGTGGTCAAGGGCATGGGGCGGGCGTGGCAACGGGTACGGCATCTTCCCCGTTGCGTCCCCTAATCCGTACCGTCACAAGAGCGCCCCTGCAGCTGCTGCCGGTGCACCGCGTGCACCCGACCGGGCCTGCATCCCTGTTCCAGTCAACATGCACATGCACGCTCACGCTGACACACACACACAAACACAGTCTGATGTACACAACACGTCCGCGGTACGCGTGCTGACACAGGGCACAGGCAGTGATCGCGCGGCCCCACCTTGCCGGCCTTGGCCAGAACGACCTCCGTGCCGCCGTCCTGCGTCCTCTTGGTGAGCGCGTTGATGTCCTCGGCCTTCAGGCTGTGGCCGGGGGTGGCCTGGCTGAACAGCGGCAGGATGGTGATGCCGGCATGGCCGCCCACCACGGGGATATCGACGCTGGCCACGTCCACGCCCAGCTTGTCGGCGTAGAACGTCTTGGCGCGCACCTGGGAGAGGGGGTTGTTTGGGGGGAGGGGAGGGGCCCGAAGTCAGGGGCTGCGTAGACTGGCGTTTGGTGCACAGGGGTGGCGCGAGGGCATTGCACATGGACGGCGAGGCCAGGTGACCAGCCGCGGTGCTCCAAGCCTTGAACTTCAGCTCTGGCCGCGCCCGCGGCTGCCACCCTTCCAGCAGGCCTGGCGACACCGCCGTCGCTGGGAAAACGGCCCTGCCTCCTCGGGCAGGGTCTCTATGGTGCATGTCGCCCTCGCGGCACGGCGCTCAGGCGCTGTGGCCCGCGCAGCTCACCACGTCCAGGGTGGTCACGCCCAGGACCTTGCGGGCGTCGTACACGCCCAGCTTCTTCAGAGTCTCAGCCGCGATGGGCACGGTGCTGTTGACAGGGTTGCTGATGATGTTCAGGATAGCCTTGGAGGCAGGGTGGAGTGGATGGGTGAGGGGAGCGGCGGGGTGTGCAGGCGAGGGGAAGGGTCACACGGACGATGAGGCGAGCTGCCCGGGGGGCGAGCCGGCTGCCAAGAGAGGCGGAGCAGGCCGAGAGGGTGGGGTGGCCAGAGGTGCGCGTTGGGCGACACGTGCGCTGGCCAGCGTTGGGCGCAACACCACGTGCAATGTCATCAACCCCTGGCGGCCGGGCCCAAAGGCAGGGCAGCTGCATGTGAGCTCACCCCCGGGCAATACTTGCCGCAGGCCTCCACCAGGCCCTTCACAATCCCCGCATTGATCTGGAATAAGGTGGATCGGGACATGTAAGGATGGGGAGATAGGGGCGGTGGCATCCTCGACTGCTGATGAAAGCCAGTGGCTCATCGCGCCGACGGCGAGTGCATTGCTCTCACAGGGCCTTTCGACAGCCCCAGAGACGGAGCAGAGAAAACCTGGGGCGGGCACGCGCGGCGGGTGCCAGGAAGCCGTCGCAGCCCTGCGGCCGGCCGCCTTGCTGTCGTGCCTCCCACCCCCACACCCAGCAAGCCAGCGGCAGGCCCCTCCCCGTCCCCCTCAGGCGGGGGCCCGACAGCAGCAGCGGCAGCAGCGGCGGCAGCGGCAGCAGCGCTGCAGCCGGTGTGTCAAGCTCGGCAGCCGCGGCACCGCCCGGCTCGCCTTGAACAGGTCGTCGCGGGTCATGCCGGGCTTGCGGGGCACGCCGGCCGGGATGATGACCAGGTCGCAGCCCTTGAGGGCGTCCGCGAGCGCGTCGGGGCCCTCGTAGCCCTGCGAGCCGCCATCAAAGGGGCCGGGGCCGCGCGTTGGGAATGCGAGCGCACGGCCCAGGGGAGCGCAGACAGCTGGCGAGCGTTGCTGGGTTTGGGATGCCGTGAGGCGGGATCGGCGGGGCCTGGCAGCCTGCGCGATGGCGGTGCGTTCATGGAGCAGCGGCGCGTGCGTGCGCTTATGGCGGGCGCGCGGCGCACCCACCGCGGTCACCGCCTTGGTGTTCACGTGGCTGATGTCAGCAGCCACGCCCTTGACCTGCGGCGTGACGGGGTGTGGGTGGGATCATATGACAGCATCGCACAGCTGCAATTGATCCGCAATGGGGAGCGTCTGTAGAACCAGGGTGAACACCCGCGCGTGAACAAATGAAAATGCACACTTCCATGCATCTGCACATACGCGCAATCTGTGCACAATTTCATGCTTACACACACACACACACACACACACACACACACACACACACAGGAGCGTGCAAACACATACACATACACACACTCACGTTGGCCACATCGTAGAGAGACAGCTGCGAGACAGCCGGGTTCATCTGCAGGGCGCACGGTGCGATGGCGAGCGTGCTGTTGAACAAGGGGCGGCCGAGGCGTGCAGAGGCTGCCGGGCCGCTACGGCGCACCCAGACGCCGGCGCGGTCTCGGGCGCGGCCTTCGCGCATACCTCTGGGTTTGGAGCATGCGCGCACCTTCATGAGGAGCGACAGAGGCTGGCCGATGCCGCCTGCCGCGCCCAGCACTGCGACCTTGCGCTCCTTGCCCCTGGCAGAGGTGGCCATGCCGCGGGCCAAAGCCGCGACGAGCTTGGAACCCGTGCTGAACATGATGCCGTTGCCGGGCGGTGCTTTGAGTCCAACTGCTGGGTGTTGGGAAGATGGGAGCCGGCTGCGTTGGGGCACTCGTAAGGTGTGTCGGGCCAGCATGTGTCACAGGGCCGCCGACCGAGCGTGAGCTTGGCACGTGCGGCCCCCTGCGCTGCTGGCGGCCACCAGCGCGCTCGATACATCCGTGTGCGGTGAAGATCCCGGCTTTGTGGCTAGTCGTTGCCGTGCGTGGCGTGGATCGCGCTCAAGGCACAACCGCCTCGACCCCGCACAGCACCGCATAGCCCGTGCATAGCCGCAAGCGAATCTCCGTCAGAGTGCCGTTGCTTCATGCGACCCCGCGCACAGAAGCTCGGCCCCTCACCTTGATCTTAGATCGCGACTTTCGAGAGCAGCTTGCAACTGAACCAACAGGCCGGGTCCGTCCAGAGCTAAGTGACTTGAGCTGGGTGCGTACGGGCGAGAGTGAGCCACCTCTGCTGCTGCGCACGAAGAACCAGAGATGCAGCACGGGGTTCGAGTGAGTGACGCGGCTGTTCGGGTGCCGAGCGCACACATGGGATGTTGACGCGCCGCATCGGGCCATGGACGTCACGGACGTACCGTACTGCTCGCTTAGTAGCGTTGGACAAGTCCACACTGCACGAGTTGGAACAGGTTGATCCCGCCGCTGCGCAGCCCCTTCACCCCAGAGCTGACCTTGCTTGTGAAGCCCCGCCTATTCTCCATCTCCCCCTTCAGGCTGCCACCGAGCGAACGAGCCAACGTGTGGTGCTGGACGGCGTGCTGAGTGCCGCACGCTGCGCCCGGCTTGCCTGGCTGCTGCGCGCGCTGGCTCACACAGGGTACCGGCCCCATGTAGAGTCCCTGAACACATGGGAGGTCGCGCGCTGCGACCCGCGGCTGCTGCCGCAGCTGGTGAGCCTTTATGCGGGCGTTCAAGAACCGGCACCACACGTGCCAACGCGCGTGCTGCGCAGCGCGCATCAGTCCGCGCGTTGCGCCCGCACACATGTGATTTCTGAAGACCATGCTGGGCCTTTCAGAGGGCGGCTTACTGGCTGTCGCTGCCCTGCGCCCACCGCGCTGCAGGTCGCCGCACGCCAGGTGGTGCTGCAGGCGGTGGAGCAGGCGTTTGGCCGCGAGGCGGAGCTTTACATAGAGTGGAGCGGGCTCGTGGCTTGGGGCGCCGGCAGCGGCATCGACTGGCATGCTGACAATGCAAGGTGGGTGGCTGGCCGCGGCAGCCTACCACATGATGGGCGTTCGCAACAACTTGAGGGTTCACCAAATGCGGCTTTGCCTACTTCTGTCCACCCATCCACCACCTCTGCCCTAGCTGCAGCAGTCGGCGTCGTCACGAGTGGCCCCATGTAGTACCTTTCAAATAATCGCAACGGCCATTCATGCAGGGACTACCTTCGCCAGCGCGTCATATCTGCGGTGCTGTACCTGAACGACCAAGGCGCCAACTTCCAGGGCGGCTCCCTGCTCTTCAAAGAGGGCGAGCCCCGCGCCGTCGCGCCGCGCGCGGGACGGCTGGCCGCGTACGGCTCCGGCGAGGCGGACGCGCACGGGGTGGAGCCGGTGGCGCGGGGCGTGCGGCACACGTTGACCGTGTGGCTCACGGATGACCCGGCTCACAGCGAAGACCGCAAGGCAGGTGGCGGTAGCCGGGAAGGCTGGCCCTAACAACCCTGCAGTTGACGCCGATCAGACGTGGCCCTATCAAATTGTCACCCCCACTGCAAGTGGCGCCTGGCAGCCTTTGAGAGTTGGCTGTGCACCTTGAGGCTTCCGTGCTTGCACATCCGGGCATCGGGTTTCGTCGTCGTACCATCCCTGCTCAAGCACGTGTGCCGAGTCTCCCGCCGCCTGGCATGCCCACACGCACTGCTCACCCAAGCCCCTTTGCCCATGCAATTTTGCAGATCTTGGAGCTGCTGGAGGCGTCCCCGGCTCGTGGCCTGGGGTTGCCAGCGACCCTGTGGTCGCCGCGCAGCAACACGGCCGTGCCAGCAGAGGAAGAAAAAGTCAGCAGCCAGGGGCTGGCTGCGGCAGACGCGGCGCCAACAGGTGCACGGCCACAGGGGCCAACAGACACGGCCGGTGTGAGAGCGGTCACCGGGGCAGGAGCAGCAGCGGGAGCACCACGAGCAGGAGCAGCAGGAGCAGCAGCAGGAGCAGCAGCAGGAGCAGCAGCAGGAGCAGCAGCAGGAGCAGCAGCAGGAGCAGCAGCGACGTCAGCAGATGCACTATCATCATCATCAGCAGCAGCAGCAGCAGCACCAGCAGTAGCATCGGCGTCGGTGTTGTCAGCTGAGAAAGGATGCGAAGCTGATATCAGGGCGCAGCGCATCGAGGGTTTGGGGCTTGAGGTCCTGCTGCCAGGCGGCACCGGAGGCCCAGCCGGGCTCCGTCCTACCCAGGACGTTGACCCCAGCAGTGGCAGCAGCGGCGGCAAGGGTTTGGAGGGCGGCACAGCCCGCAGCACCTTGTGGTGCGACTGCCTGCAGCACGCATCGTTGCTGGCGCACTTTGCCTCGCTGCACGGGGGACGCCTCCTGCCTCGCGCCAGCGGTTGTGGCGGCAACCGCAATGATGACGGTGGTGGTGCCGCGGGGCCCGGCGCTGTTGTTTCTGCCCACTGCTGGTCTCTAGCGGAGCTTCAGGATGCGGACAAGCAGCTGCGGCTGCTGCTGGAAGCGGGCGGCTGCGAGCTACAGCGCCTGCTACCCACATGGCGTGCGCACGGCTTCTTGGTGAATGACGGTGCACTGTAACGAGCTGCACTACTGCGTTACAGTTAGCTGTGCTGCCTGCTTCACTCAAAGCACCCTACACACCGTAGCACAGGACATGGGCACATTCAGGTAACAGTAAACTGAAATTGACGATTGTCCACCAGCTAGCCCAGATTGTTTGCAGAGTGAGGCGCGTTCCCTCTGTCCCGCCGCATGCTGATGTTGCGACCTCACAGCTCGTCGAGAGCGCGGTGCACGCGCGAACGGATGTTGTGGGTCTTCATCGTCGGCGATATCGCCGGCCCGCCGCAAAACGTGTTGGTGAAGCGACCGTGGACGCCCGCCCTGCAGGCGCACGCAGCGGCGATTCAAGGCCATGGAGGGTGGGTTCAAAGCTGGCGCGCAGGGCTTCCATAGGCATCGGGGTGAGAACTCGCAAATATATCCATGGGGGACACGAGACAACTGCGACGAGCAAGGCGAATTGCTTCCTGAACGCGGGCTCCACGGAGCGGCCGCCCGCATGCAGGCTCCGCAGCACCGTGGTCAGCTAGCCGTGTTCATCACCGAAGCAGCGCTGCGTGGCACTGCGCCGCATTCCCACCATGAGAGCGGCATGTCCAGCCCCGTGGGCTTCTTGGCGCCATACTCTGCTGACGAGGTCGAGTAGCAAGGGTGCTCGCGCCGCGCCTTGTGCGCAAAGCAGGTCGCATCCAGGAACCTGCGTTGCAGCAAGGGGGAAGGGCATGGGATCAGCGCTTGCTCTCTTCATCGACAACGAAGACGGTCCCGCTCAGGCTGCTGGATCACCTGACTTCTTCCCACACGCGTGTTGCCTGCATGGGAGGCCGCGTTCGCCCTTCCGGGGCGGCCGCAGTCCCTGAGGCTTTGCTGCATCGCATCTTTCAGATGTACGTACCTGCTTGGCAGGTGCTTGTAGTTCTTGACGAGGGGGTTGGCAGCGCTGCTCTCCAGAGAAGCCTGGTAGCCGCCCACCCAGTGCGCGAAAACCGAGCGAAACCCGCCGTAGGGCTCGCACCCGCTGCCGCCGCTGGGCAGCCGCACCTCACCCTGTGAAAGTCATGAAGAATGTGCGCGCGGGTGCGTGCGCATGCAGTGCAAGCATCATAAAAACTGCTGCAGATCACAACCCACCAACCACTTAGCAAGACCGCATGGTCCTGAATTTCAAAGAGGCAGCCCAATTGGACGTGCTGCCTGCAGCGGCTGCGCAGCCGCAATGCCGCTGCGCGCTGCGCACCGTGAACGCGGCAGCCTGCGCAATGCCCATGCGGTTGAGCTGCTCCTCCAGCTGCACGAGCGTGCAGCGCCTCAGCTGCCCCGGCTCGAGGTCGTCCGCGCCAGACCGCGTGCTGGCGCTCGCGGCTTGTTGCAGCTGAAAGGGTGTTGTCAAGGCAAGTGGGTGTGGTCATGCCCACTGATCTGAGCCAGCAGCAGGTGCTGCAGCGCTCTAAGCCCTCAAGCCACCAACACAAGACGGGCGCAAACACATTCTGGCAAGCACGTTGCGTGTGCTCGCACTCGCGCGCACATACACACACCCATACACATGCACATGCACATGCACATGCACATGCACATGCACGTGCACATGCACATGCACACCTCCCAGCAGAGGCGCTGGTGCATTGAGGCGTAGTGGCGAAAGAAGGTGTCCGCCATTCGCGCCGCATCAGGAGTGGACAGGTCCAGCGGGGGCTGGTACGCCAATGCAGGGTGGAGGCACGGGAGTAGCGAGGGGTGAACAAAAGTGAGGTATACGCGACGACGGTTGAACAGCTATGGCCAATCCACCTAGACGACTCCAGAAACGGATTCCTGACGCGCTGTCCCGTGCGCTCCTGCGAAGCCCATGCCCTGCGCACCTCCAGCCGCCAGCTGTTGATGACCTGCCCCTCTCGAAGCATCCTGTCCAGAAGCCCGCCCAGTGTGCACAGCGCGGCGGACGCCGCCTTGCCATCCGCGCCCACAGGCAGCGCGCGGTGCGCCAGCACGCACAGCGGCGCAAGCACAGTTGGGGGCACCTGCCTTACTGGGTCCTCGGCGCGAGCGGTAGCGTCGTCCCCGCTGCTGCCGCTGCTGCCACTGCTGCTGCGAACTGCTGTTATACGGCCGCTGGCCTCCATGCGGCTCTGCAGCTCCACCTCCGCGCACAACGAGGCTGCAAACGCCTGCTCGTGAACGTCCGCGCCCGGCGCCAGGAGCAGCGGCGTGCACACGCCAGCAGTTGCCGCCGCAGCCTGGATGACCGCGGATTCCAGCAGCCGCGAGATCGACGTACCTGGCTCCATGGCATAGGTGCAGCCTGCCAAAACGATGTGACTTGCACCCTGCAGGGCCGGGTGCTCCCGCTGTGCCAGCAGGCGGAGCACGCCGCGGCCCAGCCAAACGCCGCCGTCAGTTTTGGAGTCGCCGTTGCGGGTGTCCACATCTGACGTGACGCAGACGCAGCCGGAGAGGTTGTGACTGCTCGCCCAAGCGCTTATATCGTCTGCAGTGGCGGCGCTGGCGACAATCACGAGCTTTTTTGCCAGGGGACGAAGCCGAGAGGTGGTGCACAACGTGTCGACCCAGTAGGAAATAGCAGGCCGCCCGGCCAGTGGCTGCAGCGCGACCGCGCCGCCGCTTCCGCAGGTCTCCGTGGCCAGCAGTACGCCTGTGACCTGTGTCAGCGGTGTTGCGCATGTGCTGAAAAGGTTCTGTTCAAACCTTGAGCGTGGCCAAGTGCGGCGCGCGCATCAGCATTTCGGCACAGCCATGCTGACTGGTCAACAAGCGTGGTTGAAAGGATCGCCAGGCCGGTTGCTGGCTTCTCACACACCTGACTTCCAGCCATGCTAATGATCGCGTGTGTGCGACCGCGTGCTCGAAACGCCCCTCTGTTGCTGCCGCGCGCGCAGAAAACGACCTTCCAGCAAGCGAAAGAAGTGTTTCAGCGTTTCCAAAAAACATATACAAGTGGTTGGCGAAGATTTGCGCAAGTGTCTTTCATCACAGTCGCTACTTGCTGGCTGAGTCGTCGCCAATGCGCTTGACTCACCTTGGGCCATGTGCGCCGCGCTCCTGGGCAGCAACCTGACCCCAGCGCAGACGCATAAAAGAGCTCAAAGCATACGTACTTGATGAGCGAACTGCCGCCGCTGCCGTTGCCTCAATCTCGTCAAGGGACAGCAGCGTTGTGTGCAGATGGCTATCTCTCACACACATCTTGCGGTGGTTGGGACAGCGCCAGCCGCTTGGTCGCGAACTTCCCGATGCCATGTCGCGCACAGTCCCACAGAAAGCAGCAGTATGTCATGTTTTTGTCAAACCAAGAAAGACGAGGGATCAAAGGGTGCGGGGACACGCCAACTGCATCAGCAGTACCTCAGCCGGGAGCGTCCCAAGCCCGCAGTTGAGCGCCACGGCGGCACACCTATTACAGTATGCAGACAACATCAGCGACAACGGCCCCCATACTTCGCATGTGTGTGGCGCACGTGCATGTTGGCACCGTGGAGCCGCTTGTGAGCATGGCGGTGTGCAGCAACTGGTGTGGAGAAATGCAGCAATGCTGCGGCGTATGATATAGAAAGCCTGTGAGGACCCCAGCTGATCTGCAAATGCCCACCAACTGGCCAGTTCTGACGTTGCGCAGAGCATTTGGAGGTTGGCAGATCCCGTGCGGCCACCGTGCGGTGCGCCCGCCTGGGCCAGGGTCGGTGTTTACGGAGCCGTTTGGCTGCTGAGAGCTGAGGGGCAGGCGGCAGCTCAAGAAAAGCGCTACTGCATGGGTCGGCGTAATGGGCCTCATTTGCCCAGCCTGCTGGCCATGTGGGTGTGCCTTAACGCAGCCCCCATTCTCAGCCCTGTTACAGTTTCTCACCCAGTCTGACTTTCGGTTGAGCGGCAGCTGTATATTTTGTCGCGACAGCAGTCAAGCTGTGCAATGCGATGAAAGCCGCCAGCCCAGGGCCTGGATGCGCATGAGCTGGGCTATGGGCATGTGCAGCGCGGTGTGGGAATTTCTGGCCCAAGGCTGGTGGCGAAACTAGACAGTCCAGGTGTCAAGGTGGGGGGCCATGCCGTGGCCTTGTCGCGTTGCAGGGTGGCTCGGCCCTTCAACGAACCAGGTTGGGTACGCTGTGCACTTCATGCGACTGCAACCCGATCCGGCCTCTCTGTAGCGACAAGCCCCAGACAGCCACGCGGCCCAAGGGTGCATTGGATGGTGACCTGGAGGCGGCACAGGCGTGATCAGCGGACGAGGCACGGACCCCAGCCTTTGGGACATGCCTCGCTGATGTTTAAATCAGGCTCTTAACATACACCTACGTCGTTTTCGGTGGGTGGGACGTGAGAACTGGACGGCGCTCTTTTTTCTTCGCGGTCTGCACAGCCAACGTACTTGATTGAGAACTGTACAACATCATTAATAGGTCCACGTAGAGAGGCGCCAGCGGCCATTTACCGCTTATATCAAACATGGGCAGTGAAGCTCTGGTGCTCCCGACCCCGGCCGAGCCGAACGAGCGGCCTGCTCTGCCCCTTGATGGATCTGTCGTCAAGGTACTTTGCCATGAAGCTCCACTGCGGCTGCGGCCTTTGCTGCGGCTCGGCCGCGCAAAGCAAGAGCCGCCCGCACGCACACCGCCGCGCTTGCCTTCGTCGCGATGCGCGTGCTGGTGATCCTGTATCGATCCGGAGCTTTTGTGCTGTTACCGTCCCCTACCGAGGGATCGGCAGCGCGGTCTGCGTGCGCGTTTGATCCGGCCCGCGCCGTCAACAACAGCTTGCCCAGCAAACCGCGGGTTGTGCCTCCGCGCCGCGCAGATGAAGGGCCTGCCCTTCAAGGCCAATGTCGACGACGTCCTCAAGTTCTACCAGGGCTTCAGCTTGGCCAGCAGCGCGGTGTATCTGAAGCGCCATGCGGACGGGCGCCTCAATGGGGAGGTGAGCGTGCGGGCGTGGCGGCTGTGCGATCTGGCCCGGCGGCTGCCCACCCCCTTAGGCGCGACCATCCGACCGCGGCCTGCCGGCCCGGCAGAGGGGTCTGTCTAAGCCCACGTGGCTGCTGGGCGCGGCCTGGGGCGCGCCTCGCGGGCTGGACGGCCACGGTTGCACGCGCAGCTGCCGCTCAGCAGCGGGCCTCGCGGCAGTCCGCACCCCTGTGCCCCCTGCGCCCCGCCGACGCGGAGACGCGCCCTTCCTCCTACCGCCCTAAGGCGTTTGTGAGCTTTGAGAACCCCGAGGAGGCCCGCCGCGCCTGCCAGAAGGACCGCGAGACGTTCAGTGAGAAGTGGGGCGACCGCTACGTGCGGGTGTACCCTACGCTCGAGTCTGACGTCACCGACATGCAGCAGGCGGTCCTGCAGCAGAACATGGTGCACACCGCGGTGAGAGGGCCGGCGCGCCTGGGCGGGGGCCAGTGCTTGGCAGATCGCTGCAGCGGGGCATCCTGCGCGCACGACGCCCGGCGAAGCCCCTCCTGGCGCAGTGCCTTTGAGCCCCTAACCGCCGCGCCGCCGTGCCTCTGCGCCTCGCTCCCAGGGCGGCCACTCGCACCACACGGACAGCGTGGTCAAGATGAAGAGCCTGCCCTTTGACGCGACCCAGCTGGACGTCATCCAGTTCTTCGACGGCTTCAAGCTCAAGCCCAATGGCGTGCAGCTGGTCGTGCGCTCCGACAACAAGCCCACCGGCGAGGTGCGCGCGCCCCCAAGGGCGGCCGGTCTAGAGCGGCGGGCGCCGTGATGGCGGCGGCGCGCGTATCACCCGGGGGCGTGCCTGTTGTTGCAGCGGCTGCAGCGCTGTGGCCCGCACCGGCGCCCCTGCCTGGCCGTCGCCACGCGGCCCGCCCCCCTGCCCTGGCACAGCCCCAGGGCCCACCCCCTGCCATGGGCGCTCCCAACCTCTCTGGCCCCTGCTCCACCTCCCACCCCTCCCGCCTGCCCAGGCGTTTGTGGACTTTGAGGCGCCCGACGACGCGTCGCGCGCGCTGCGGGAGAAGGACCACAAGGTGTTCCACGAGAAGTTTGGGGACCGCTACGTGCGGCTCATCCAGGTGTCGCGCAAGGAGATGCAGGCCACGCTCGCGCTGCGCTTTGGGGGCGAGGGCATCCTGAAGGTCAAGGGCATCCCCTTCAAGGCCGGCCCCGGGGACGTGCGCAAGTTCTTCTCGGGCTACAAGATCAAGCCCGACGGCGTGAGCTTCATCATGCACCAGGACGGCCGCCCCACGGGCATGGCGTTCATCGAGTTTGAGACGCCGCAGGAGGCGGTGCGCGCGATGGAGAAGGACCGCGCCAAGTTTGGGCCCGAGTACGGGGACAGGTTCTGCATGCTGCAGCTGGTGGGGCGCCACGAGATGGACAAGGTCACGCTGCAGCGGGAGGGCGACGGCGGCGGCAACAACAAGATGATGGTGCGTGGGGCCGGGCCCGCGGCCGGGGCGGGGGCGGGGGCCGAGTTGGGCAGCGGCGGGGACGCGTGATGGGGCAGCTTGCAGGCGGCTCCAGCGGAGTACGGGGTGCGGGGCGTTGGGGAGCCTCTCCTTTGGGGACGCCGGCCCGCGTGTGTCGGCAGCCACACGGCGCAAAGCGGGTGGAGGCCGCGAGCGCTGACGCCGCCCACGTCCCGCCTGCGCCGTCGCGCCGCCCTCGCGCAGGGCATGAACGGAATGAACGGCGCCAACGCGGCAGCTGCGATGCAGCTGCTGCAGAGCATGCTGTCCAACCCCGCCAACCTGTCCCTGATGATGGCCAACGCGCCCTGGATGGCGCAGCACCCCGGGCTCGGCATGGGCGGCCCGCACGGCCCGCAGCACCCGGGCCACGCGCCCGGCCAGATGGGCCAGCAGGCGCCGCCGCCCGCCGCGCCCGCGCCGCCGGGCGGCCCCATGCCGCCCGTCGACCCCAACGCGCTCGCCGCGGCCGCGCAGTTTGGCCAGCAGCTGGGCGCCGCCGCGGCCGGCATGGGCAACATTGCGGGGGCCCTCAACGGGCTCGGCCTGGGCTCGCTGCACCCCCCAGGCCAGCAGGGGCAGGGCGGGCAGGGCCAGGGGGGCGGCATGCAGCAGCACGGCCAGTCTGGGGACGTGGGCCCCGGCTGGATGCCCAACGCGCCGCCAGACAACATGGTGTTCTACCAGAACTCGGGCCCCAGCAACGGCATGGAGCGCAGCTGGGGCGACCACCGCTGAGCGGGCCGCGGCGGGCGCCCGCGCGGCGCCCCTCGGCTAGCCAGGGGCGCCGGGCGGGTGGCGGGGATGCGCGGCTGGCGCCCGTGCGACCCGCGTGTTGCCAGGCGTGTGGTGCCGTGTTGTGCAGCATTCTTGGCGGCGATAGAGCTGGGCGTCCCTGGGTGGCGGGGCGCCAGCGCGGCGGCTGGCTTTATGTGACCCCCCCGTGTGCACCGCCGCCCGTTGGGCTTAGCGCACGTGCCTTGGTCCGCCAAGCGCCGCCAGCCGCCATCACGGCGCCAGGGGCTCGTGGCGGGGGCTCCTGCGCGGCCGCCGCCGCCCGCTGCGCCGTCTTTTGATCTGTCTTTGGGGCCGGCTGCGCGTTTCGCAGCCGCCCCGGTCCACGTCTTGCAGCCGTCCCTCAAACTCGACACCCACAGCACGCGCTGGAGCCCCACTTTCGCAACCCCCAGGCGACGTATGCGCGCCGCGGCAAGCCAGCCCTCCGCGGCAGAACCCCGGCAGCCGTCTGGCGGCTGCGCGCCGTGGCGGGGTGGTAAACTTCTGATCAATGCGACTCGCTCGCCCATGTCTTGGCGCGGGGGCAACGCCGCCTCCCCCTGTGACGGGCGTGGTGGGCTTCATCCGCCGGCGCGACCCCAATTATAACCCCCTGTACGCCCTCTTTTCAAGATGGCAGTGTGTGTTGCCTTGCCTTGCAGTTCGCGCGGGCCCGGCCGGGCGGCGGCGCCCTGGCTGCCGCCCACGGGCGCCGTGGGCGGCCCGTTGTGCGCGACGTCCCAAGTCTCACAAAGGGTTTGTGTCCTGATTTCTGGGGTGCCTCGCATGGCTTGTGTTGGCTCCGCCGCGAGGCCGCGTCGCAGTCTATGCACGCGTATTCCGCCCGCCAGCATGCGTGCCGCCTTTCAACACCTTTCCGGACTCCCTAGGCCCGTGGCTTGCGGCAGCGCTGATCCGACGCTCATAAGGCCCTTCCCATTTGTCCGCTGCTCCCACATTCGTCCCGGAGCATTGCGGCGGCACTGCATGTTCTGTTCTACACCCCTTTGCGCACTTGACGCCGACGAAGAGCCGCGCTTGGCCGCAAGAGCGGCGTTTGCTAGGTTTGTGATGCCCGGCCGCGGTTGCGCCTTGCACCGCGCGGCTTTCGCGCCTTGCGCAGTCGCAGTACAGGCTCCTGGGGGCTGCACTCGGCGTGCTCTGCCACCCCGTGTGTGCTTGCTGGCAACCATGTTTCACACTGCGCGTGCAAGGTTGGTTGTGTGTGGGCTCCAAGCTAGACCATTTTTGGAGGCCAAGTGGCTATGCTGCGGCGTTTCCCACATTGGATGGCACCGCAGACGGTACTGCAGCGCTGTTGTGGGCTGGTGTGGGACGTTCCATGTGTGCAAGGGGCTGTCAGCTGGAAACGGCGTGGTCGTGGTGCAGGTCGTGTATCCTGGTGGGACTTGTGGATGTTGTCTGCCCATCATCCAGCTTGCTGGGCTTGTAAACGTTTCTTCCTGGCAATGCAGCGCGCACCACACGCAATGTCGGTCGACAAATGCACAGATGTTCCATCTATGGCTGACATGCACACTCTCTCTTGTCTTGCAGTCCGCATTATTCAAGGCGCGGGGCAGCTTCCGCCAGCGGCGCAGGCGGCTGGAACATGCGGTGTGCATGGTGTCAATTCAGCGATGTCCGTTGGACAAGATATTTATTGTTTGTTGACCGGATAACAGCCACGGCCCATGCCATGGCGAGACTACAAGGAGCAGCGCTGATCCTGGCGCTCATGCCAGGCCTCGTCCTGGCATACTATATGCCGGGGACGTACCCCCAGGAGTTTTGGGCAGGGGACACGCTGAACGGTGAGCCCCCCGTGACCGGATGATGCAGTCGCCGTGGATGCAAACTCAACGCCCCGCCCCTTGCAGTGCAAGTGAACTCGCTGAAGTCCTCCGAGACGGAGATGCCATTCGACTATTACTCATTGGCGAGTATCCAGGGGAGGGGCGGGGCTGCCGCAAACAACAGAGCGCCAGATCGCGCGCAGCGCAGCGGTTCGCAGGCGCTCAGCGCAGTGTGATTTTCCGGCGATCGCATGCTGGTACCAGGCCGGATGTTCAGACCATAAGAAATTGCACCCATAGAATCAGCTGCCAGCGGTTCGCGGGTAGTTTGGGCGACAGGCGCCTCCTTCAAGGCAATCATTGCATGGCATCGGCGTGGCAGCACTGGCCGTGCAGCCTGAGCGCACACAGCTGTGGTTCTGCGGGGGCAGGCGCTGGTCTGATTTTCACAGCTGCATTGGTTGAAGGCGGCTATGCTGCAGCTGCAGCTCCAGCAACCGCATTCAGCAGGCAGACCGAGCACCTGCCGCGCTGCCACAGCAACGCAACGCAATACGACGTGGCACCACTACACACCTGGCAGCACGGTTGCTTGTTGGCATTGGCAGCCGCAATGCACTTGCTTGCACCCGCGGTTGCCATGGCACTACCAGAGTCCCGTCGCCGCGAATTGCACCCGGCCCCTTGGGCAGCAACAGGACACGCTGCACCGACAGCCCCGCCCCTTTGCATTCCTTGTTTCACCAGCCACAAGGCCGCGCAGCAGTGCCCCTTGTCCAGCAGCACGTTCGAGGCCCCCATCGCTCCCACGGCCCAACGTCGACAGTGCCGACGCCCCCCCACCTGCCGCCGCTCCCGCAGCCCTTCTGCAAGCCCCCGGAGGGCGTCAAGCGCGTGGCCAACACCGCCAACTTGGGCACCATCCTGCAGGGCCTGCGCATCGAGAACTCGCCCTACAACTTCACAGTCAATGTGGGCGCGGCCCGGGGACGGCGACTGCTCGCCGCGGCGGCCCGGGACGGGCTCGCGTCGGGTGGCAGGGGCGCCAGGGGTTGCTGGCTCGGCCCGAGCTGGTGGCGCCATCTGCCCTCAAATCTGACGTCTTCCGGCTTCCGGCGCCCACGCCCCGCAGGTCCGGGAGGAGGGCAAGAACGCGTGCGGCGCCGGCGGCGCCGCGCCGCCGCTGACGAAGCAGGACGTGGGGCTGCTGAAGAAGATGATCAACGGGGAGTACACGGTCAACATGATCCTGGACAACCTGCCGGTCACCATGCAGGACCTCACGTCGGACGTGAGCCGCGCTCGCATGCGCACGCATCAGTGCATACGCGCTCACGCGGCGCCCTCAGGCCTCTGGTGGCGCCGCGGCTGAGGCGCGAGCCCGCGGGGGGGCTTTACAGGGGAGGCAGCCGTCTCCGGCGAGCGGAGGGGGCGTGAGCAAGCAGCGCCAGTGCCGCCGCGGCCTGCCGTGCGCGGCTGCGGTCCGCGCACTACCTCCAAACCCTGTGCCGCGCCCCTTCCCGCCGGCCGCTCTTGCCTGTTTGTTGGCCCCCAGAACGAGGAGGTCCGGCCCGGCTTTGACATTGGCTACCAGGATGGCGACAAGTACTTTGTTTTCAACCACCTCCGCTTCAACGTGCTCGTGCACGCCACCCACGGCGAGTACCTGCGGGCCCGCCAGGGCGTGGACGGCGCCTCCCTGGGCAGCATTGACGCCCGCAAGCTGCTGGCCGCGGCGGGCGTCGGGCGGGGCGCGGCGGAGGCGGCGGCGGAGGCGGCGGCGGAGGCGATCGGGCGGCAGCTCATGGCGGCCGGCGGTGAGCAAGGGAGGCGGGAGGCGGCTCGCAAGGCCGGGCGGTGGGGCCTGCGCGGCGGCTTGGGTGGTTGCATCGCCCCTGGCCATCGTGCGGGGCTTGGCCGAGCATCTGGGCGGCTCACCATGTACGGCCCCCTGAACCCACGACCTGTTGGCCAGCATCCCCCTCCCATCACACCCCCCTGTGCCGCCCCCACCTCGAGCCACCCTCTCCCCCCGCTCCTCCGACCCCCCGCCGCCCACCAGGCCTCGCCAAGGAGCAGCGCATGCCCGCCCCCGGGGAGCAGTTGTACATGGTCGTCGGCTTCGAGGTGATGCCCTGCAGCATCAAGCGCAAGAAGGGCAAGCCCATCGACAACCTGGACTGCGGCATCGACGCGGACCGGCCCCCGGAGCCGCAGGAGATCAAGGAAGGCGAGGAGGTGGTGTACACGTACGACGTGTACTGGCAGCCCAGCGACACGCGCTGGGCCAGCCGGTGGGACGCCTACCTGCGGATGCCGGGGGGCAAGGTGCACTGGTGAGGGGGGGCGGCGCGTCGGCGCGTGTGGGCGCGTTGGGTCTTGGGTGGGATGAAGGTAGTGGGGGTGTTAGTGCTGTGCTCCTTTTTTGCGTGAGTGTGTGCGGGTGTGTGCAAGTGTGTGTGTGTGTGTGTGTGTGTGTGTGTGTGTGTGCGTATGTGTGTGCGCGTGGGGGTGTGCGCATGCGGAGGGGTGGTAATCGGGATTGGCAGTTGCTTGGGGCGGCCACTCGCAGGTTGATGTGCCCCCGGGCTGGCGACCATGAGGCGCGCAGACAAAGCGCCAACCTTTGCCATCTTGCTCTATTCCTGAATGTCGCCCCAGTCTCATATCCACTGGTGCTGACCGCCCCGCCCAATGCTCACCCAATGCTCAACCCCTACAACTGGCTTCGCACTTTCATGCCTGCCCCCGCACCGCCGCCGCCACACGCCCACCCCAGGTTCAGCATCCTCAACAGCCTGCTGATCGTGCTGGTGATGGCGTCACTCGTCGCCACCATCCTCATCCGCACGGTGCGACCAGCCTTGCCGCCTGCATGCAGTCCTGGCCTGGACTCCCCCCCCCCCCCCCC